CTGCTTCCCCAGATTTTGTTCGACCAGCTGACCACCCGCTCCCGGGTGGCGAGTTGCATTTGATAATCATTTTTCCATCAGGTAAAACTTGGTGAAATGGGGTTATATCTCCTGGGGAGCGTCAGCTTGTTTTCATCTTGCACGGACGAGGACCTTAACAAGGCGACCAAATGTGCTGTGGAAGTTGCGGAATTCTGGTCCAAATATATTTGCCTATTATCCAAAAAAAAAATGACAAAATTTCTATTACTGAATCTTATGTAAAAAAAATCATATGTGAGAGTGAGTATTTCGCACTTTATCATGTCAAAGATGAAATACAGGAATAGACTCTTGAGCAAAATTTCTTCGAATATTTGCTATATACACAAAATTAACTAAATAATAGAAATAACATTTATCACATATGTTCTATTACTTTTCTCTCTTTAATTGTTATATATTTGAAAAGGCCTTTTTTTAAGAGGTTTAGGCCGTAAACTAGAAAGTCTAATAAGGTGTAAAGTCACAAGTTTGAGAAACTCTGACATAATCGAACTTTTCGGGTTAAACTCTGTTTTATGTGAATATACCCATATGAATGCGTGACATGCGTCACATTTATTATCCTATCATCTGTTTGAATATATATCGAGTATATATTTTAGTCCATTGTCTAGCTGACCCGGCAAACATTGTTTTGCTTCTTACCGCTACTTACTGGGTCCATTTTTAGGGTTCCGTACCGCAAAAGAAAAAAAGGGAACCCTAATACCCTACCACAGGGGGGAAAGGGATTGTTAGTAATAGAGACTGAGAATCCCATTGCTAGCAATATACCCAACCAGGCCGACCTCCTCGCGGTTCTCCCCGGAAACTATCATGGTTAATTCCTGATGAATTCATCATGATGGGCTAACTGACCTGTTTTCAATCTCATCTATCACCCTTCATTGATGCTCCGCTAGCGTATCCCGTTAGCGCAGGCGGGGTTACCATACCATTTTCACCCATAAAAAAAATACCCTACCACAGCATTTTTTGCTCAAGTTGAAATTTGGTACACATATGTATTTTAAAATTAAAAATAGTTTTAAAGTTATTTAAAAAAACTGGCGATATTTGACCGTTCCCTCGTTTCCCTCATCACCGAAATTACTGGGCCTAAAATTTAAAAAAATATACTTACAAAAAATATTTCTTTAGCTATAGATTATAAAAAAGGCAGTAGTGGACAGTTAAAGGCTGATACGCTGATGAAGCGGCTTACCCCTTTCAGACCCGAGATTTTTTTTTCTTTCAGATTAAATATATTTTCGTGTTTTGGAGCCAAGCCATCTTGCTGGCACGCACGAGACTACTGCACCACCTAACCGCTAAAATGATTTCTTATTGGCTGGTTTAGAATCTCACTATCATGTTATTTCAGCTTCGTGCGTAAAAATGAATTGCGCGCGGTTTTAGAATTTTTTAAAGTTCCAACTCACGCCCGTATCGTTCAGGTCTGAAAGGGATAAGAAGGAAATAATAAAGGGATAGGAAGAACGAAGAGAAATTTTGTCGGCGGACAAAAAGTCCGTCGTGTGTCGAAGCATTTTCTCTTAGGTATGTCACTTTCAATTCAATATGTGTGACACCGATGACTGTCATTATGTAACTACACGATTCTAAATAACTTTGGCTTCACTGCTTAGATAATAAATGGTTTTTACGTAATGAAGGGACTGTTATAAGATTCACGTAATTATTAATTACTATAATGTTTTATTATAGTAAAATTATGGAAGTACTAGCTTTTAGCCGCGACTTCGTCCGCATGACCGTGATATGTGTACTAACCGGGATAAAAATGGCCTAAATCCATCCTATAGGGGGGAAGGGATTGTTAGTACTGAGAATTAGTAACCCTTTTACTAACAATATACTCTATTAGGTCGACCTCCTCGCGTTTCCCCCTGGAAACCATAGTGATTGGTGAAACACAACCAGTGACTGTACAAAAGTCGATTGCTTGTGTACCTCTGTTCCATTCGTGTTTCTACCGTGAAGCAGTTGTGTTTGCATGGCTGTGTTTCGGTTTAAAGGGTGGGATATGGCATGAATTTACTGGGTACGGAAGAATAACACCTGAGTCCTCAGGAATAGCAACGCATGGAGGGTATCATGGGCGAAACAGTATACTCTGTTATGTCCATGGGAGCTGAAGCACAAGCTGAAGGCCCACCTAATGGAAAGTGGTAACCGTCGCCTATAGACATGAGCGGTACCATGGATATATTAAGATTTATTTCCAGGCTAGATACATACAGATTTATGATCAAAGGAAAATAGTTATGACAAAGGTAAAAAAAGATATTACGATGGCAAAATTAATATAGTACCTACTTGTATAATACAAGCACGAGGGTACACTTTATCGATTTGAAAAAATTATCAAAATCGGTGGTTACATCTACATATATTAAACATGTAATGTTTAACATATATAGTTACCCATTGTTAAGTTTGTAAACAACCCTACCACCTACTAATGGGTACGGTTTCATTGTTCACTCCATAGTATTGTAACTTCACTCTTTACACCCGTACAACGTTACGGCACTATAAAACCGTATCGTAAAACAAAATGAAAACGCATTACAAAATATTTTTTAGGGCATTTCTTTTCGACCCTTTCGATTTCAAAACAAAGGAGAATTCTCGATTCGGTTGTATTTTCATTTATGTTTGTTGCCACATAACTCCGTCAGTTGAAAACCAATTTGAAAAATTCTGTTTTTTATCTGAAACGACATACTTACATATTGGTCCTATATAAACTTCATTAAAATCGGTTCGGTAATTTAACTTTTAGACCAAAATAACTTGCTTTGTTACAATTATAGTAGGTTTTTTTTTTTTGTGGTAAACAATCTTCCAATTATATTTCGTATGGAAAGAATTATAATTTAATGCAATAATTTTTAAAAATTAATAAAGTTTAAAAATTTTATATCATCACCATCACTACATAGTATTATATAAAACAAAGTCGCTGTCGCTGTCTGTCCGTCCCTATGTATGCTTAAATCTTTAAAACTGCGCAACGAATTTTAATGCGGTTTTTTTAATAGATAGAGTGATTTAAGAGGAAGGTTTATATGTATAACACATGAATAATATAGTAGAGAAACACTGATAATTTTAGAGGTTTCTAATGGGCCGGCAGCGCTATTTAGTATCAGTATGGCAACCGTGCGAAACCGGGGCGGGTCGCTAGTATATGTAGTAGTATATTTAACGCCTGTTGTACATCTTCATTTAATATAAATTATAACAATGTAATTTTTGTATAAGTACAAAAAGGCGACGTGCTGAAGAAGGGCCAAATTAAAAGTACCCGTAACCGACGAGCGTGTATGACAAGATTGATGAATGTGGAAGAAGCGAAAGAGGGTTGTTTGAATCGAAGCATTTGGCGTTCCATTGTTTCTGCCTACCCTAATGGGAGACAGGCGTGACAGATATGATGATGATGATGATGTACAATAAAGTAATATTTAATAGCATTAGCATTAGTACAGTAGGTCAGAGGATTTTCGATTAAGTATCTCCCTATCTGAAGTTTGAGATCGACGCTTTGTATTATTCGAATCGTTGTCGACACGCGACTACCCTAATCTTGAATATTGTACTGTTGAATTATTGATTAAATCGATTTCCAATTATTTCCTTGTCTCCACACGCTATTGAATAAAATTGAGTTTCTAAAGTGCGTGGAAACCCTACCGCTTTTTGTATATGCACATTCTGTATAAATAGATCCTTTATACACAATGTGCATATATTGCCTTCTTGTATACATCTCTTGTGTGCGCAAGAAAGAGTTTATTATTATTATTATAAACATGTACAACTGACGATTTTAACTCTGTAAAAGTTGTCTTCCAGCAAATCCTGAGTGGAAAAGAGCATTACATACATACATACATTTTAATGACGTCTATATATATATATATATATATATATATATATATATATATATATATATATATATATATATATATATATATGTCTTAAAAATAATATATCATAACGATTAATTGACTAAATAAAATTTAACATTAATTTTAACAACTACAAATAGAAAGCAATCACAATTCGATTGTACTCATATTTTTGTGTATATTTCATGTGATGTTTTGTTCCATAATTCTAGGTATTTCGCCGTCTCCGTTTATATAGTTTTTATTATGATATCCACACATAATATTAGAATTTAATAAAAAAAAATAATAATAAGTAATTTGTTTGGGCACTTCTATACCATTCGTGTTTCTACCGTGAAGCAGTTGTGTTTGCATGGCTGTGTTCCGGTTTGAAGGATGGGATATGGCAGTGAATTTACAGGGTACAGTGAAATAACACCTGAGTTCTCAGGAATGACAACGCATGGCGGATATCATGGGTGAAACAGTATACTCTGTTATGTCCATGGTTCTGCTTATGTCTATAGGCGACGGTTACCACTTTCCATCAGGGCCGTCAGCTTGTTTGTCATTGTTATTGCATAAAAAAATAATTACCTTTTCTTATACCACAAAGGTGGTAAACAAGTACACAGCCCGTCTGATGGTAAACGGTCATATACCATCAGACGGGCTTATAGCTTAGCCTAAAGCCTACAACACTAGGGGTGTCACGTGCGCGTTGTCAACCATATAGAAACCTTTAAATACCCTTTTTGAAGTACTCCATATTGTAGTCCCTACTTTATCAGGGTTTACAATGAATTTTTTTTTTTAATAAAAATAAACTCAGTACACATTTTAGTAATATTTTTCCTCGTCATCATTAATCATAAGCATTAATTTCTATTGATACTTTTTCCTTTCAGGTCTACAAGTTTGCCTGTAAGAAATCCCTTCAAGGGATATGTCCACAATTTCGTTATAAACTTATATCTACTCTATTGAAAGTAAAAATAAAAATAAATAAAATAAATAATTTCATAATAAAATCACTTATTTGGCAACACTAACCTGCATCTCTGGGGGCCCGCCCTCGTCTCGGATAAGCAGAAGATAGCTGTGTCCGTCGATGATTACTTCTTTTTTGAAGCGACCACCTGAAAACGAAGACCTCATCACTGTCCAATAGCCTTCTTTATCTCATCTTCATAATCATCATTCCATATACCATATATACACATATATATATATATATATATACATATATATTTAGCGTGAATTTACTGGGTACAGAGGAATAACACCTGAGTCCTTAGTCTGAGTCTGAGGTCAACGCATGGGGGGTATCATGGGCGAAACAGTATACTCTGTTATGTCCATAGTACTGCTCATGTCAATAGGCGACGGTTACCACTTTCCATCAGGTGGGCCGTCGGCTTGTTTGCCATTCTAAGTTATATAAAAAAAAAGATACTCTTTATTGTTTCCTCCATAACATTACAATAGTAAACTTATTATAAATATAAACAATTACAAGAAATAATCACAATGAGAAAACAATGGGCGATAATTAAAAATAATGATAATTGAAGTCTCCCCGAAATCCTAATATAAGGAGCACGGGGGGGGGGAAGGATTGTTAGTAATGCGAGCTACCAGTCCCATTGCTAGCAATATACCCTGTCAGGTTGATCTCCATGCGGTTCCCCATAGAAACCATCGTGCTGAATTCCAGGTGTATTCATCACGATGGGTTAACTGACATGATCCTTTTTCATTATATCCTATCATCCCTCACTGGTGCCCCGTCCGTGTGTACCGATATCACGGGCGGAGTTATCATTCCATTATCATCCATTACAAAAAAAACCTTAGTCACCAGTAAAATCCTGGGGATGGAAAGATGTGATGACACATTGTATTATCACTTCATCATACACGGATGATGATAATGAAATGGTAATCCCAACTCGCATTGTCGGTATACGTTGGCGGGGTACCAGTAAGATACTTAGGTTAGGATGAAATCAGGTCAATCAGCACATCATGACGAATTTACCAGGAATATATTGCTAACAAACTGGATGGATTAGTTCCCATTATTCATCCCATTAATTAATAAATTATCCTGTGACAATTATTTAGCATAATTTACCATTTTACTCCAGAGGCGGGTAACCTTTTTACAGATTAATTTTATTAAACTTATTAGAGTTGACCCGTTATTTTAATTAAAATTCTGGTATCATCCAAATTCTTTTGGATTTGGACTTAGATATTTTGAGTCTACATAGTAAACGCTTAGGTCATGAGCATTTCACTTAAATCTACCTATAGTACAACCCTATCACTCCATCTAATTAACAATACGTTTAAAGGTATTCACCTCTAATCTACGCACGACTGTGTTCAACTATGTTGTGATATTAATATTGATTTGTGTATAAACTAGTACAATTTGTAGTGTGGGTTGACTGGGTTAGCAACAAGTCCTACGCACAACCCGCAGGAGGGAGATACATATAAGTTATGTACATACAACTGATTTCATATGTACACCCCTGCAAGATCAATGAACTTAGGAAAAATACAATAAGCGCCATCTATACTGTTATTAGGAAAACAATTTAAGCACATTTCGAAAACAAAGGTAAAGCATGAGATGGTTAGTGCTGCCATCTATTATAACTTTTATAATTATATAATAATTGCATGATCAATCACTAGATGGCGCTGAATTATGTAGTATATTTACGATATAATAATAATGAAAATCATTATTATAAAAATATTAATACTTATATATATTATTAATATTTTTATACCTTCTGGACTCTCCTCCTGCATATAAGCTCCAGTCAAATACCGGTGTACTAAAGCAGATTTCCCACTGTCTGGAGATCCCAGCACACCGACCCTGAGCTCTGTCACTCCTCTCGCCGCCGTCCATTCTTGACTGTTTACGAATGAATCTGTAAGATGAAAAAGTGAATTATTAATTAATTGATATTATCAATTACTCATATTCGTAACAATTTTAATTTTCGAGTACACATAGCGACATCTAGAGACCAGTAGAAAAAGAAAGTAACAGTTTAGTAACGAAATCATAGATGGCGCAACAGGAATAAAACTTCAGATTTTTCTACTAAATTATATATGAATATAATGACGATGTCAATATCAAATAAATAAAAAAATGTCATTAATCTACGATTTTGTTTACAAATTCGTTACAAATGGTCGGGATAAAATACATATGTCACCATTAATGTCGATTGGTTGCGCTGTTTTAAGGTTCGAAGAGGGACAAAAATATTAGAAGAGATAAAAAAAAACGAACTCGTTCTTATATTTATATAATTTAAAATCAGCTGCCGAATTACTACAGAATAATAAGTGCATCACTTTACAACGTCTGTAACTACTTAGAAAAATCTTTATATCGACTGGGAAAAACATGTTTGAAAAATAATATGGAAATGAAAAAAATAAGCTTTAAACATGTCTTCATAGAAAAGTGAGTGAGTGAGACAGATGATTTTTAATTAGTACACCTGTATAAATCCAAGGCGAACAACTAGTTTATAATATTAATAACAATGCATAATTTTATGCACTTTATGTGCACTGTTATATTTATCTACCGTAAAGGTCCAGGCGACAAATAAATACTTTAATAATGTGTCATTTCATTATCATATACTTATTTATAACATTATCTATAATGTACTAGCGTATTGCTCGCTACTTCGTACGTGTGCATTTCAGAAATAGAAGATTCACCACCAGATGGAGACTTTGTACAAAAATTTTTTTCTTGGACACCTTTGTCCATTCGTGTTTCTACCGTGAAGCAGTTGTGTTTGCATGTCTGTGTTTCGGTTTGAAGGGTGGGATATGGCAGTGAATTTACAGGGTACAGAGGAATAACACTTGAATCCTCAGGCATGGCAATGCATGGGGAGTATCATTGGCAAAAGAGTATACTCTGTTATGTCCATGGTACTGCTCATGTCTGTAGGCGGCGGTTACCACTTTCCATCAGGTGGGCCGTCAGCTTCTTTGCCATTCTAAGTTGTATAAAAAAATCAATGAGCACTTCTTGAGACAAAAATAAACCAGTTTTTAAGTTAGACCTTCAGGACTATAACTGAAGAACTGCATCCAATTTCGTGTAGTAATTTTTACGTGACACTATAATATTTAAAAAAATTGGTAACAGCAATTTTTTACATCATTTTATTTAATAACAAGTCTTGCAATAGGCAATCGCGTTGCATTCACGCCTCATCGCAACAATATTATGACAAACCAGTTTCTCTAACCATAGACAAGGAAGTAACGGGATAGCAGTGAAAGTTGTTTATGGTATATCCGCACTATTTAATATTTCCTATTAACTATTTGTTACCTAAATAACATTAAAATTGTATTTACGACCTCCTCTATTACGCCGAAACTTAAAACTTCGTAATAAACGAAGTTCTGGGTAAATTTTTTATTCGGACAAAGAATAAAAAAAAATTGTCTCATCCTCAACATGACGTTATCTGTCCACTTCTAAAGATGGTAGGGTATGGGGAAGCCTCCCTCATAAACTGTCAGATGGAACGGTCTTGAGCCACCTGCATACGTTGAGTTCTTGCAATACTTTTGCGGTCATCATTTCATCTAGTGATCTAGCAGGGCGATTGCCCGTACGGGATCTCCACTCAAGAACCTTTGTTCTACTGCTTCTTTCTTTCTTTTTGTCTCGATTTTTCCGAAAAATTATATATTAAACGAGAAATATCCTCGTTTTGTATGTCGCTTGAAAATATAGTTAAATTAAAAAAAATCCCCCATTTATATTGTTAAAAATAATTACATACTGAAATTGAATGAATTAATGAAAATGTATGAAAAATGAATATAATTGAAAGAACCTCCCCCTGTTGAAGTCCTAAAAAAATTTATTACCGGTTGAATAAAAAACTACCACCATTTCGAAGTCATTTAAAAATAATATGTTATTCTCTTTTATATATTTGTGTATTTGTCTGCCTGAAAATAAGGTCAAGAGCCTCCTCTTTTCAAGTAAATAATAAAAAAATTGTAAAAACATGTAAATTAATTAACAATCTTGTACTGCAAGATTACAAGAAATCATTTTAATACGACATAAGTTTACCGATGTGTCCAACGAGTTAGCATTCACCCGTAATCATTACCGGCCCGTTCCCGTAATAAATTAACTTTATTACTATTCGGAGAGTTATAAATCAAGTGTAAACTTTGGGGTCTTTTTGGTCATAAGGGTTTTAAAATTCATGGGTCGAAATGTCCCGCCCGTGGGCGCTCACTTCGTGGCGTCGTAAAGGTGTTAAATAACTGTTTTATCGTATTCACGATTGTCAGCAGTGAGGGGGTTTGAATTTTATGTTTTTCGAAATAAAAGCAATATCCACTTCATATTTGACATTAATTTTGTATATATTTTTTTTTATACAACTTAGAATAGCAAACAAGCTGACGGCCCACCTGATGGAAAGTGGTAACCGTCGCCTATAGACATTAGCAGTACCATGGACATAACAGACTAAACTGTTTCGCCCATAATACCTCTCATGCGTTGCCATTTCTGACAACTTTTAACAATATTTCTTTTGGTTCCTTAAAAAAGTTCTCTAATGGGAAATAAAATGTTAATGTAATAAAAATTTTATTAAGAGCTATTATACTTTAGTTCACCGATGGCCATGAGCGTTACAGTCACTCTAGATTAAGGATCACGAATTGATCCCGAAACTATTCGAGCTTTCTCTCGATCTCATTACACGTAAGTTAAACTGGTAATTATCAAATATTACATTAATTTACATTAAAAAAATATTGAAAATTGTTTTTTATATACATATATATTGTCTATGTATATATATATATATATATATAATCCATGAATATGATCAACCGAAAAGAATGATTTACTCTCAACGATTGACCGCACTATGTTGACTTTCTAAGTGTCTTTTCTGAAGGATTCGAGATTAAAGTATGAAGAAAACACGATAAATTTGATAATTGTCTAATAATTCCAACATTGCTACATTAAGCTAAACTTTGGTATGAACGCTTTTAAAATAACACATCGTGGCTCTAGCAGAATCGGTCGTAAGATGCAGGTGTTATAACTTTTGTGACATCTCAAACAGTCTTTCATAACTTCGGATTACGTACCCGCCAGACAGCACAAATAATGTAGGAAGTAGATATAATACTTTATTACTTTTAAGCTTTTTCATTTTAGAGGGCGACTAGCATCTAATATTTATATTTGTACTAGATACATCCCGCGGTTTCGCTCGTGTAAATCAGTATATAATATTGTATATCTTATGTTCTAAGTTAAAATATCCATATATGTACCAAAATTTAATTTAAATTCATTCAGTAGTTTTTGAGTGAAAAAAATTAATATCCACTTTTACAAATTTTCGCATTTATTACCTATTTAAAAAAAAAGTTTTCAATTCATTTATGTATATTTTTTTATTCGTATATAGGTAACAAACCTCATAAGTTATGAGTCATAACTCCGATAGTTTTAAATCGATTTGAATTTTTTTTTTATCTGAAAGGATATACTTACTTACAGATTCATTATTATATTAGCCTTTAACTGTCCACTGCTGAGCATAAGCCTCCCCCTTGGGGGGTTTTGCTAGTAGTTGCCACGCTTGGCAGGCGGGTTGGCAACCGCAGTTAGGATTTTAGGGATGTTTTAAGAGGGACGCTGTTGCCAATCTCTCGCTTAGTCCATTCTTACGATCTCCACGGGAAAAGAACGGGTGGTCTATTCTTTTTTTTTATTTCTTTTATACAACATAGAATGGCAAACAAGCTGACGGCCTACCTGATGAAAAGTGGTAACCGTCGCCTATAGACATGAGCAGTACCATGGACATAACAGAGTATACTGTTTCGCCCATGATACACCCCACGCGTTGCCATTCCTGAGGACTCAGGTGTTATTCCTCTGTACCCTGTAAATTCACGCCATATCCCACCCTTCAAACCGAAACACAGCCATGCAAACACAACTGCTTCACGGTAGAAACACGAATGGGAATATTCTATGGCAAGACCACACGGCAACTTACAGATTGGTCTTATGAAGTTTTCATCAAAATTAGCAGTTTAGATTTTAAATCGAGGTAACCGATTTTGCCACAACTAAAGTCGGTTTCTTTTTATAGAACCCAATTTCAAATTATATTCATAATGAAAAGTAGGATTTTTATTTTAACTTGGAACGACAAACCGACTGTTCACCTGACGGAGTAGGCTATGGTGACCGTCGGTTACACCTTACCCCTTTTTAAGATTCCGTACCAAAATGGTACAAAGAAACCATTATAGTGTTTATTACTACCATCAGAATAATGATATAACAACAACACGGTCTTCTCTTTGCCCGCCAGAAGTGTGGGCGCGGGCGAGGTAGGGGCCTCGGAGTGTACCCCATTACCCCGGATTCTACTTCGGAGGCGACGACCTCCGGGTCGCTGGGTTCTTTAGCCGGCATACACTGATGGTCTGTGTATGCCGGCGTGGTGTCTTGATATCGCTAGCAACAAGATCGTCGAATCATTGACAGATAGATGTCGCTAGTTACTATCAAATAAATCGAAACAAATTTAAAATGATCCTATGATAAAATAATTACAGGCCTGAACACAGCATGTGTCCACTCCACTGTACCGCAAGACTTATTATTTTTGCGGTACATTTTGAATAAGTCAACTTATGGGACAGATGGCCGACACTTCATATTATGTTCTTTTTTACGTTTAACCTTTTTGGAACAAATGGACTTTGTCCTATTTGTAACAAAATACTGTTATTTGTGAGGGGGCGTGCATCAAAGAGATTGCTTTGCAGTTTTACTTATATTGAACATATCGAGATTCATATGTTTTTTTTTTTTTTA